TTGTGAGCAACGGCACATTTAAATCTTACAAATATAGTTATTTGGCTTATATCGTGATAGATATCGTTATCGCCTGAAATGAAAAAAACATATCGTGATATGAAAAAATCTCATATCGCCCAGCTCTACCTCAAAGGTGGCCTTAATATCAGTCAGTCAGTTCCATTTAAAGGCACCAACATCACAAATGCTTTTGAGAGGTCCAGTAAATCAAAGCAGCCACAACATCTGTTATCCAGATGGATGAGTTGTAAAAACATTCAACCTCCCACTTTATAAAATAGTAAATATATAAATGGATGAAAATATGTGTTGTTGTTGTATTTTTTGGGGGGTGGGGGTTAATGCTGTAACATGGGACTGACATGTTGGTGTGGCTGGACCCCAATTTGTGTCCATTAGATGAACTGCAGTTTTTGTTTTTTTTTTTTGTTTTTTTTGCCACCTTTACTTTAGCATTGGTTTGCGGCCCTTCTGTTTTTCTAAATGTGGATCAGATAATCATTTTAGTGTGTTTCATGTACAGACAGATGAATGTCAATTGAGCCTTTCTCCTCTGTTCTTTCTGTTTGCAGGTAGAGAGACTTCATGTCCCAGAAATCCCTGTGAACGTCAGCACTTCCTCTTAAGTGTGTTCCCTTTCCCATTCTCTCTCTCTGGTTGGTTGGATGAGTCCCAAACAGCGACACAACTGATTGGGTGTTGAGCCAGACCGGGTAGCCAACGGGAAGCTAGGTGAGCCTTTCATTTTGTTTGTTGGTTTTTTGTTTTTAAATTATAATCATTTATTTTACTTCCAGCACACTGATTGCACACAAAGTCCACATAACAGACACCAAAAAAGTGATGTAGCTTCAGATCGTATTTCACTTAGTGACGTCATTGTCAAGTAAGGAAGCGTTGAAAAATGCTGTTACAAATGAATGGCAAATTGATACAAACCCTCAAAGGTGATATACCTGGCAAGTAAGTTTTTTGTTACCCCCCCTATTGGTACAAATTAAAACATGATTAGGATCATATAGCTTGGGTAAATTACAGCGAGCTGGCCAACAAAATCACATTTAATAGGAAGTGCTAACACTTTTAATTATATCTAACAATAAATAAACCGTACAAATCAGATTTGTTTGAGCATTAGTACAGTAATAGCTTACACGGGGGCTCGGTTAGCTACTTAAATGTAGCTAAATTATGCATCTTTCATCTCTACTTTGATTGCTTGCACATAAATGACAGCTGTGAGTGACAGTAATAAGATTTCTGTATATTTCTGTTGCTTTAGGCTAGCCATCATGGCCGATGTGGACCCAGACACCCTGCTGGAGTGGCTGCAGATGGGTCAGGGTGATGAGCGTGACATGCAACTCATTGCTCTGGAGCAACTCTGCATGCTACTGCTCATGTCAGATAACGTCGACCGCTGCTTTGAGACGTAAGTTTGTGTATTTGTCTCACAAGCATTCAGTTGGTGGTCATGATTTCAGAATTCAGCACTCTCTCTTCCTCACCGTCATCCCTCTCTTATCTGCCAGATGTCCTCCTCGGACATTCCTTCCAGCACTCTGTAAGATCTTCTTGGATGAGAGTGCTCCAGATAACGTGCTGGAGGTTACAGCCCGAGCAATAACCTACTACCTGGACGTGTCGGCAGAATGTACCCGCAGGATTGTGGGAGTGGATGGGGCCATCAAAGCGCTGTGTAATCGACTGGTGGTAGTGGAGTTGAACAACAGGACCAGCAGAGACCTGGCTGAGCAGTGTGTCAAGGTAGGAGACAACTGACTATAAGAGAGAGGCCCATTTCACTTGTCTGATCTGTTTCTTGTCTTATGGTGGTTGTTGACAGCTTTTAAACATAAGCCAAAAGCCTCAGTCCAGCTTGCTTTGCTGGGCTTTCAAATAAATCCTCAAAATTGGAACGTACTTCCTTATATAAGAGGAAGTCTTGTGATCTGACATGACATCTGTCACACATTGAAAGTCCATATGTGAAGGAAAGTTGTATACATAGTTGCTCATGTCATATAGTAATGTATTAACATTTGGAACAATCATTGAAGTCAGTTAATTTCACAGAAAAAGTGCACTCTGTAACTGACCAGATCACACCTCCTCACTTCACCACTAAAATCTTGTATCACGACATGAATTGACTGAAAGTATATGTTCTGTTATAGTTCTAACACACTACCCTGGCTCATCAGAACAAGGGTAATATCAGTCGCAAGCAGCTGATCCCACTGCTGTACAGGAGAACCAGACATGATGCACAGCATGTGCTGTTACATATGTCTTGATTAAACTTGATTATTGCTGTTGCAGCAGTTGATGAAATAGTTACAACCTTTAATCTATTGAACTAAATTACAGTTTCATCTTTTCCTACTGGGCTGACTGTCAACACGCTCTTCAGTGTCTTCAGCTGTTTCCTACACACAATTGTCACAGATTTTCTCAAAGCATTGGGCTGTGTGGCACGCATGTGATTTTTACACTTTAAGCAGTATGATAGTGGAACAGGTAAAATTTGTGGAAAATATTAATACAAAAAAGTCAAACACTTGAGTATTTAAAACCTCAGAGGGGTTTAGTTTTTTTTTTTTTCTTTTCCCTCAATGGAGTCTAATCAGAGAGGAGGGCATCTCCCTGATCTGTTGCTGTGTTATTGTCCTGAACAGAAAGCTAATACATGAGATGAAGTTTTGATCAGCTCAGGCTGCTTCTCTGTTTGGGTGGGGTTCTTTGGGGTTTGGAGACAGAGCTATGCCATAGACATGAGATCACAACAATGTGCTGCCAGATGTTTATTAATTATTTTCCCAAACAGTGGTGTTTATTCAGGCCTTACTTTGTCACCAGTCTGATGTGTTAGATCAGACTTGTGCTAGAGGCCCAGAGGGGTTCTTGATCCACTAGATTTTCTGTTTTTCTGTCATTTGATCCTGTTATTTTAAATTTTTCAAATTTTCTTTTTTTGATCTTCTGAGAAAAGGTAGAAATATCAATTAGTGAGGATGATGGGAGATCAGTCTCCATGTTGAGTGCTTTAAATAAATCATTGACTCACCCAAAAATGTTATCTAATGGCATAGTTTGGAGAAGTCTGTGATTCAGGTACACCAAGATTTGGAGTTACATATTCCTTCTAGAGATTAAGTTTGAACATATGTTTTCGTGTTTCTCCAGGTGCTGGAGTTGATCTGTACCAGAGAGTCTGGCGCAGTGTTTGAGGCAGGCGGGCTGAACTGTGTGCTGAGTTTCATCCGAGACAGTGGGCACCTTGTTCATAAAGACACTCTGCACTCAGCCATGGCTGTTGTGTCCCGCCTTTGCAGCAAAATGGAGCCCCAGGACTCTTCTCTGGAGACCTGTGTGGAGTCTCTGTCTAGCCTCCTCAAACACGAAGACCACCAGGTAAATATAGAACAGGGGTTGCATCCAGTTAATGCACTTTTCTGATTACAAATACATGGTATGAAAGAGACTTTGAAATAGTTGCTGCCCTCCCTTCTTATTTGTGTTATTTGCCACTTTTCCTAAACTAAGGGTGGTCATAAAAGGGGTGGAGCTAAAACTGCTTCTTTCTACTATATGAAGGGGGTGCACCAAGTATTGAGATAACTGAAGTTTCAGAGTTTGGATTGTCTCTTTCTCTATGAATAGATATTACAATGAACGATTAGGTTTTTGTTCTCTCCTAATGCTGTAACAACTCCTAGCTTCAACACAGAGACTATAGCTTTGTGCCTCTGAGAAAAATGATTTAAAGAAAGAAGTAGTGGGACTTTTAGAACTAATTAAATTATAATGTTTTGTTTAAAAGGTACTGTGTTGGAACATTAATAACTCGAATTTCCTTTTAGAAGCTCATTAAAGAGGGAAAATTGTGAAAAGCATTGCTAGATCTTTAACCTTGTTCAGGCTGAATATGCTATAACTCAAAACTCTCCTCTCCTGCAGGTGTCAGATGGTGCTTTGCGCTGCTTTGCCTCACTGGCTGACCGGTTCACACGTCGTGGTGTAGACCCTGCCCCTTTAGCCAAACATGGCTTGACAGAGGAGCTGCTGTCCCGCATGGCGGCTGCTGGAGGGACAGTGTCAGGCCCCGCGTCTTCCTGCAAGCCAGGCCGGCCTTCAGCAGGTGCAGGCCCCTCGGCTTCTGACTCGAAATTGAGCAACCAGGTGTCTACCATTGTCAGCCTGCTGTCAACACTCTGCAGGGGGTCTCCGCTAGTGACACATGTAGGTCAAAACACCTTGAATGAAGATGTATTTATTACTTTATTAAGTAAGAAGTCTGATCAATATTAAATGTTCTCTTTCTGGGTGTCCAGGACTTGTTGCGTTCAGCACTGCCCGATTCGATGGAGTCAGCACTGGGAGGAGATGAGCGCTGTGTACTGGACACCATGCGGCTGGTTGACCTCCTGCTGGTGCTCCTGTTTGAGGGGCGAAAAGCGCTGCCAAAGTCCACAGCAGGGTCGACGGGCAGGATCCCAGGGCTGCGACGTCTGGACAGTTCTGGGGAGAGATCACACCGACAGCTCATCGACTGTATCCGTAGCAAGGACACAGATGCTCTCATCGATGCCATTGACACTGGAGGTGATGATGCAAACTAATAAATATTACAGAAGCCATGAGTCTGAGTGTTGATAGTTTGGAAAAATTTCATCACACTTCCTTTTAACTTTATAATCATATCAGCTAGACTGTTATATATTTGCATATGTATTACAAAAAAAATAATAGAACTTGGTTTTAAAGTTGGCTCCAAAAGTATAGGCTTTAAATGTATTGACAGGCTAAACTTCAGTGAAATTAGGTAGAAAACGGGTGGTGTTTTGCTGAAGGTTGTTTGTGTGTGTGTGTGTGTGCGTTATCGGTAATAATGGAATGTTGTTTTGTAGCATTTGAGGTGAACTTTATGGATGATGTCGGACAGACGCTGCTCAACTGGGCTTCAGCTTTCGGCACGCAAGAAATGGTAACGATAAAACTTGCCATTTAATCTGGACTAAATTAACTGAAGAACATCTAACTGACAATGATATTAGTTTTTTAGTTTAATACTATTACAAATTGTTATCCGTGTATTATTTAATTTCAGTTTCACCAACTGTCTGTTGTTCTAGGTTGAGTTTCTTTGTGAGAGAGGAGCAGATGTCAATAGAGGTCAGAGGTCATCGTCACTGCACTATGCTGCCTGTTTTGGACGCCCGCAAGTAGCCAAGGTAACACACGAAAGCTAAGGATGAAATGCACGTTTAGTCCTGCAGGAGTCCAGTTTTCTGAAACATTTTTTTTTCTGGAGTAATGTGTTTTGCTGACTGATTTTATTTTATTTATTTATTTATTTATTTATTGGTAATGTGTGTGTGCAGACTCTCCTGCGTCATGGGGCCAACCCTGACCTGAGGGATGAGGATGGAAAAACACCTCTGGACAAGGCTAGGGAGAGGGGACACAGTGAAGTTGTAGCTATACTGCAGTCTCCTGGTAAGTAAACCAGGACTATGCAAGACCACTACTGCTATTACTGGTTCCGCTGCTATATCATTTCATTGTAACGTGCCTTTTCTGTCTCTGACTTGTGTTAATTTTGCACTTTTGCCTTTCTTATGCCAAAAAGTGAAGTTTCCTTGCAATGTCTAAAAAAAACAAACAAACTGAAATTAACCCAATTAACCAGGCCCTTTGCACCTACAGTAGATGTGCTTTATGCTTACCTGCACTTGGTTTTGCTGACAGAGAGTGATGCACAAATGTCTATCGGTCTCGAAAGGCAAACCATCTGTGTGTTTCAGGAGACTGGATGTGTCCAGTGAACAAGAGTGATGACAAGAAGAAGAAAGATCTTAACAAAGAGGAGGAGGAGGGCAGTGAACCCAAAGGAGACCCAGAAATGGCTCCTATCTACCTAAAGAGACTTCTGCCTGTTTTTGCACAAACATTTCAGCATACCATGCTGCCTTCTATTAGGTAAATGACAGTGTCTAAGCACTCTGCAGCAGCCATTCATTCACCTTAATTTACCATTGTTTACTGGGCTACATCAGATAAACTGTAAATATTGTCGAATTTACATGAGTTAATCGAATCATATTACATTGTGTTCTTTCTGTTCTGAATCAAACTTCACTACTATGTCCAGTGCAAATCTTAATTAAAGGAGCAGAAGTGGACATAAAAGGAACTGCTGTCTATAATTAAAACCAGGCTGGGAGTTCTCACTAGAAAAATGAAGTTGTATGTTTCTATTTTGATGGTTTTCAGGAAAGCTAGTCTGGCTTTGATCAGGAAAATGGTTCACTATAGCAGCGAAGTGCTGCTGAAGGAGGTGTGTGACAGCGAGGCGGGACATAACTTGCCCACGGTGCTGGTGGAGATCACAGCTACTGTCCTCGATCAAGAGGTACAAACACTCAAATACACAGACACAGACATGCTTTTGGGTCTTATTTGTCAAACCTTCCAAAACCCAGAATCTTAGCAGGACATACCTAGTTGGAATAGATCTAATTTTAGCCCAACAGAGAATGAACACTAGCTTAAGCAGATGCTTAATTAAATTAATTAATTACAATTATTAAAACGCTGCCGTGTATATACTACAAAGGCCGAAAGGTGATGATCACATTGACTTACATGGTTTTGGGTGCTTGAGTGCCACACAGCACAGTGGTCCAGTGGTGAGCATTTCTCCTTCAGCTGATTAAGGCTGTGTGAATTTTCTCAACGAAGCTGGGCTACCTCCCACAGTTAATTACATGTTATGTTAACGAACTCTAAGTTTTAAATCCTTTTTTTTCGGCTACACCATAGATCTGGAGGTTATTTTTTCCCATCACAGTTCTTCAAGTCCGCTATCTTATCCTGCATTTCAGTGTTCTGTTTCAGCAGTGTATGTTTCATTTACCAGCAGTCTGATTCCAAATCTGTTGTCCATGTTTGTGTTTTTGAACAGGGAAAGGTTTTCCTTTGTAGTTTTTATTTAATTTAATTTTTTGTAATAAGTATATTCACTAATGTGGCATCCCAGATCTTGTTCAAAGTCTCTCAACTCTTTATAAAGTAGTGTCACATTTCTGAGCAGTGTGTTATGGTTAACGCAGCTTCTTCCCCACTCTAGACAGCCTGAGGAAATAGAGATGCAAAGATGTGCAACACAGGGATGATAAAGACTAAGGAACCACTTTAGTGTTTTGACCACAAGACATGATGTTTTACCTGAGGTTGATCTTCTTAAAAAAAAAAAACCCAACATTTTTCACCATGATGTCGTACTGTTATGTGACAGTCTAAGCATGCCTACACACTACATGTATTTTAGCCAGACACATATGTCCTAAATCTTTTTTCTTCTTTTAAGGAGGGATGTGATAACAACGCGTTTTCTTGCTTTCTCTCTCCCTGTGTCAGGACGATGACGACGGTCACCTTCTGGCTCTGCAGATCATAAGGGATCTGGTGGATAAGGGTGGAGATGTTTTCCTTGACCAGCTGGCTCGACTAGGCGTCATCAACAAGGTGTCGACTTTGGCTGGACCAGCATCTGATGATGAGAACGAGGATGAAGCAAAACCTGAGAAGGTATACACCGAGAGGACGATGAGATGAAGCTTAAGATTTAGTCTTCAGTATGTGTATATCATATATTTACATTTTTCTCGCAGGAGGAAGAGGTGCAGGAGGATGCTAGGGAGATCCAGCAGGGGAAGCCATACCACTGGAGGGACTGGTCCATCATCAGAGGCAGGGACTGTCTCTACATCTGGTCTGACGCTGCTGCCCTTGAGCTCTCCAATGGCTCCAATGGCTGGTTCAGGTTCATCCTGGATGGGAAGCTAGCCACCATGTACTCCAGCGGAAGTCCAGAAGGGGGATCGGACAGCTCCGGTATGAGTTAACATGCTTATAATGCACTTGCATATCTGTCATTTTGTTCTGCTGACAATGGTCCATCTCTTTTGGGCTGCAGAGTCTCGCAGCGAGTTCTTGGAGAAGCTACAGCGGGCACGGAGTCAGGTGAAGCCAGTAACAGCCAGTCAGCCCATCTTGTCCAGTGTTGGCCCCACCAAGCTGACCGTAGGGAACTGGTCTCTGACCTGCCTGAAGGATGGAGAGATTGCTATCCACAACTCAGATGGGCAGCAGGCCACCATCCTGAAGGAAGACCTGCCTGGCTTTGTCTTTGAGTCTAACAGAGGAACCAAGCACTCTTTCACAGCAGAAACATCCTTGGGTGAGTCTCATTGTCTAATAAGCAAAATGTATACAGGTAAGCTATCAAACAAAGGAAAATATTCTTCCCGTTGAAATTTACTAAACAGTACAAACGCGTTCAGCAGCGTTGTTAAATGTCTCATTTTCGTGTGTCTTTGTGTGTGTTCGCATGTGCCTGAGTAGGCTCAGAGTTTGTGACTGGTTGGACGGGGAAGCGAGGCAGGAAGTTAAAGTCAAAACTGGAGAAGACAAAGCAGAAGGTGAAAAGTATGGCAAGAGAGTTATATGATGATCATTTCAAAGCTGTAGAAAGCATGCCCAGAGGAGTGGTGGTTACTCTCCGGAACATTTCAACACAGCTGGAGTCTGCTTGGGAGCTGCACACCAACAGACAGGTACACAAGTACACATTAGTAGACAGACTCTCATTGGATTGCAGTAATAAACAGTAATGTAAATGCTTACATGCTTATGACTTATATTGTTAACAGTGTATTGAAGGGGAGAACACATGGAGGGACCTGATGAAAACTGCTCTGGAAAACCTGATTGTAGTTTTGAAGGATGAAAACACGATTTCTCCGTATGAGATGTGTAGCAGTGGCTTGGTCCAGGCTCTGTTTACAGTCCTTAACAATGTGAGCTAATTCTAAATCTCTCATTCATCTGATTATTTATTCTTTATTGAAATATTCTAAGGTACTGGTTTTCAAATAAAGGCCTTAATTAGTATATTATATATATATACACACACACACACATACACAAAAAAATTTTTATTTACAAGTTAATACTGCGTATCTACTTCTTGTGTGGGTCCAGTTACAGTTGATGTGTAGATGACAGATCTGTATTAGTTGCATGGTGCTGTCGTGTCAATATGGATCAAAATCTGAGGAATGTTTTTGAATTCATGCTAGTTCTAGAGGTGAAGGGGGACCACCCCTGTAGTAGAAAGTTGTACCTAATAAAGTGACATAGTGTAAACAGCAGTAAGTGTATATTGATAATGGCTGTGTTGGACAAAGGCTGTTTTTCTTGAAGAGCTCTGTATAGCTGGCATTGAAACTTGAAAGCCTTAACAATCTGTGCCTAATAGTTCATTAGAATCTAGTGTACATCATATATTCATCTCTTACATAGCACTGTCCTTAAAGATGAAAATGTGACATGTCTTATGCTTCTGTGTAGAGTGTGGAACTGGACCTGAAACATGATTGTAAGCCTTTAATGGAAAGAATCAATGTCTTTAAGGCGGCTTTCAGCGAGAATGAAGATGATGAAAGGTAATGTCATGCTCATATTCTGAATTCGATAAATGAAAACAAAGCACTCTTATGCATAATGATTTATAGGACAGTATATTTGTTGTTTGTTCAAAGAGAGACAAGGAAAAGAAAGATGGACATAAATGAGGACATTTCTACATGAAGTAGACCCAAAAAATTTGATTTAAAGAGAAAAGATATACAGAGAATGACAAAGGGCAGACAAAGTTAGTCAGAATGACAACTAAAAAAGTGATAGCTTAGTCACACTAGAGTACAAATAGGATGGCAACCTCCTTCGGACTAGGACAAAGTCTGTGGTTGTCTGGTGATCACGAGAACAATTGCAAGTAGTTGAGGTAACCAGCTGGTTGCCCAGAGGTTGAGGGTGTCACGATTTGTCGACTAGTCACGATTATGTCTACTGTCAAAATCGTCGACGACAAATTTAATAGTCGATGCGTCGTTTGAAGCTTTGTAAGATCCCGAAAGACGCAGGAATAAGCAGTAGGATTTAAGAGTGTAATAACTGACTGAAACAGAAGATGGCGGAGCAGCAATCTCCAGTCTTATAGCTGTATACAAGTTCAGGGGCCACATCCTTTGGAGGTTGCATTTGTAGGCCGATTACGTTACAGCGACGGGACCCAATGCGTCCTTCATTTCCCCAGATTTCAAGGATGGGTCGGGTGTATCCTTCGTGCCTCAACCTATCCCGGGATTCATAGTGCGGCCCAGCCAATTTCAGTTTCCAACAATGGCGGCAGCTACTTAGTTTTAATATTACTCTTATGACTGTTCCTGGGTCACAAAATAAACTTTTAACATATTTTCAGGTGAGAAGGTAACTGTGTAAACTTCAAATATCTGCTCGGTTTATCAAGACATCACTTATTTGCAAAAGTGCTCCGACGTTTTCTGAGACATCTCTTACCCAACAGCTCAAGGCTCACTAGATCTGGCAAGAACACCGGGCTCCCGGCACATCGTTTTCAAACACCCCGCGAGCTTTCGCTACTCAGTTTAAACATGATATATAAGTCACTTAGATAACTTTTAAAAATTTTATTGTTTGGTTTTTTTCAGTGTTTTATTTGTTCCTGTTTGGCTGAGATTAAAGTTACAGTTTTTACACAGCTGAATAAATGTCGAACAGAAAACTGATTAAACAGAAGTGTGAGATGGTAGAGATTTTACTCCAATGTCCTGTTAAATTTTAGGGAGCAAAGAGCAGACGACTGAGTTTATTAAACTCCACCGAGACAATCTGCAAATTTCATTAAAAGTTTAATAAACTATCATCTTTCTTTATTTTTAGTTAGCACATACCTTAAACACTTCAAGCTGTAAGCTAATGATAGTTATATAAGACCAGATGCATGCTGATGGAATAAGCTGTACGTTTTACATCCAATGGATGCATGATCTGATTAGTCGACTATTCGCAAAAATAATAGGTGACTAATTGACTATCAAAATAATCGTTTGTGGAAGCCCTACTGGTTATATTCCCATATCGAAGCGAGCTTGCCAAGCATTTGTTATTTTGCAGTTATATAGCCATCAGGCTGCAACTATGTCACTATTTCTGGAGGATTTTGTTTCAGATTTGAGAAATTTACCCAACTCTAAATGTGTACATTTTTCAAAGCAAAAATGACAAATGCAGTGAAATCCCGAGTTCATTACACACAGTTGCTGTAATTTTGTTTGCGCTGTAGTCTCCAGCCTAGTTTGACTGAAATATAAAATCATTATGAAGAACTGAAGGATCCTTTAGTCTTCTTAGTTATCACTTGGATTCTACTTGGTCACATAGCACTGTCGAAGATGTTTAAACTGCCTATGTTTTGTTTGAACTGATTAAAGTTGATAAATGATTCTGTGTGTGTGTTTTTAGCCGACCAGCTGTTGCCTTAATCCGTAAACTGATAGCTGTCCTGGAGTCAATAGAACGCCTACCTCTGCACCTGTACGACACTCCGGGATCCTCATACAACCTGCAGGTGAGTCAACTTGTGTTTGAGGTCCTGGTGTGTTATTTTGAGAAGCTCTCAGTAATGTTGCTTGCCATAATCACAGCCTGTGATAAAATATGTTTCTGTGCTTTAGATTCTTACACGGAGGTTGCGGTTCCGGCTGGAGCGAGCGCCGGGAGAGACGGCCCTGATCGACCGGACAGGTCGTATGTTGAAGATGGAACCACTCGCAACTGTGGAGTCTCTGGAGCAGTACCTGCTGAAGATGGTGAGGAGACACTAAAAATGCATTCAACCAAAATACAGCTAGGTCTGGAAATACTTGGACAGTGGGGGGGGGAAAAAAAATCACAATTTTGGTACTCTAACGGTGTGTTCACACCGAACGCGATAGAGGCAGGCGGAGCGTCAGGTTTACATGTAAAGTCAATGGAAAGGCGCGCTGACCCGCGATTGCGGCCCCCGCGAAAATTCGGAAGCG